GGTTCCTCACTGCTCCTTCGGCTGCGCCAACTCGCTGCCTACCGAGCTGCTGCGTTCAGCTGCTGACTCTGCTCCACAACCGTGCCTCGGCGTGCTTCTGCCTGCTTCTCTTGCCTTTTCACACACCTGCACTGCTGGCTGCTTAAGACCGCTCTGACTCCGCCTCCAACAGACCTGGAAGGTAATCAGGTAACAGGACGCACCTGCGAATGACAATTAACCCATAGCAGAGCGTCACAACATCAGCAGAGCTCGGTCTGAACGTAGCTGAAAGCCTCGCAGCTCCTGTTAAAATGGTCGTCTCACACACTTGAGAAAAATCATATTTTGTTTTTTCAATCATAATGACAGCATCAGGACAAACAAAAGTCAATATAAACAATAAAAATCAATCAACTTTAAGGAAAAGCATTTATTTTCGGAAAAACCTTACGTGAAAAAAACTCAAAACATTGTGTTCTTATAAGTTACAACATTTAATAAAAGTTTCTTTTCTTCAGGGAGCAGCTAAGATGCTGCTAGACTCAGAGCAGCATCCGGGGCAGCTGAAGGATAATGTCTGCTCACCAGGGGGCGCCACCATCCATGCGCTGCACTTCCTGGAGAGTGGTGGCTTCAGGAGCCTCCTGATCAATGCAGTGGAGGCTTCCTGCATCAGGACAAGGTGAGATTGTTGTAAAAAAATAAAATAACAAATCCAAACAACTACTACTGTTTTGCTACATTAGCCATTAGCTAATGTTTTTGGTACATGTAGCTTTTTGGTGCAGTTTTCCTACACGTATGTTTTTAGCAATATTTTGCTTATTTAAACTAACAGTTTGGTTACTAATAATTCACTTAGAATTTTTGCAAAAAATGGCAATTTTCTTGTTTTCACAAGTACCTGATGTTTCGGTGTGCCGTCACTTTACAGAGAGCTTCAGTTTCTGGCAGACCAGGAGCGCATCTCTCCGGCGGCCATTAAGAAAACCACGCTGGACAAAGTGCTGCAGCAGCCTGGAGTCTCAGTCAGCGGCAACGCGAACGGGAACAGCAAGTCAGGACTCAGCCTGTTCAACAATCGCAGCTCTGGGCTCAAAAAGAACTGAGAAGAAAAAAAAAGCCACACAGACAAACATGTTACAGGTTTAGATGTACCAACGTGCACACGTCTCCAAACAGCGGATCAACTAAAAAATAAAACAACAGACTCCTCTACATTAGTGTACTCAGTTTACTTGAATATCAGACTGAGCTGGTGGTTCTTTTTACCACATTACACACAAACACACGGACTACGCCTGCAGGATTACTGTCTACATGGAACACAAATCCAGAAACATCAGGGCTGTTAAACGGTAACGACGCAGTGGGCCATCATGGGGTTCTGGTACGCACCAGGCAGCAGATGGCTGATGGGATATCAAGCTGTAAAAGCACATCTAATGTTTGTCTTTAAAGAGCAGACGCCCCAGCGAACCATCAGCTACTCATCTCTTTTAAAAAAAAGTATTATTTTTGTTTGTTATTCCGTTAAAAAAACATTTTGAACAAACATTTTTGTTTTTTGTCTAACCCTCCTGCTGCCCTAAGGTCAAAAGGACTAATAAAGACTAGTTTTTTTTTAAATCAATTTTAACATTTCAAGCTGTAATTTAACTTTTTTTGTTGGTCTGAAAATCCAAAAGAACTTTTTTACATTCTTTCAGCAGTGAATGAGACGTCATTATCTTAACGAACTAATAAAACCTAAATAATAAAGAATCTGTGGGCCGTTGGTTTGTTCATAGTTCAGTTTAAACAATATTTTCCAAATACATCAACGTGTTTGTCAGCATTAAATTCTATGATACGCACATTTACCTCACACATCTGCCAATAAACTGTTACATGAATCAAATAAGTCAAATTTAAGCAGGTGAAACTGGGTTTTTTTTTGGTTTAAAAAGAAAAAAAATAGTATAGGTCCTCTGGACGGGTTCTTCTCTAATGAAACGTTTCGTCTCTTCTCCAAGAGACTTCTTCAATCTGAGAGTTTCAGGCAAAATTCAGGCTTTTAAGCCCTGCCTCCATGTGACTGATACATCACATGGCTATCGTTGACACCTAATTAACACCTATTGTTAACGGGGTGGAGTGATACTGGCAATAGCAGCACTGTAGGAGGGGGACAACTGAAAACGGAGGCCTCCACCTCTGTTTAATGATGGACGGTCTTTCTTCACAAAAATGGCTTCTTTTACTCCTCTCTCAAACCAACGTTCCTCCCTATCAAGAATGAGAACATCCTCATCTCTGAAAGAGTGACCGCTGGCCTGTAAATGAGTGAAAACTGCAGAGTTCTGGCCATTAGATGTAGCTCGTCTGTGTTGGGACATTCTTTTGAACACTGGTTGCTTTGTTTCCCTGATGTATAACTGGTCGCAGTCCTCCTGGCACTTAACAGCATATACAACATTGCTCTGTTTGTGCCGGGGCACCGGATCTTTGGGGTGAACCAGCCTTTGCCGTAATGTGTTTTGGGATTTGAAAGCCACTGGGACATCATGTTTAGAAAATAAACGTCTCAGTTTCTCCGAAACACCCGCAACGTACGGAATAACCACTGGTTTGGGTCTGTGTTTGGGGTCTTCATTTTCACCTGAAGCTTGCATGGAATCCTGTCTGTGTTTCCTGTCTGCTTTCAGGAAAGCCCAGTCAGGATAACCACACTGCTCCAGGGCCTGTCGTGTGTGTGATTTCTCTTTCTGCCTGGCTCCTGGGTTTGTAGGGACACTGTCTGCTCTGTGGTACAGAGTCCTGATCACTCCTAACTAGAAGACCTATACAATTTTTTTCTTTTTGATTTTTTACCTGGATTACTGAGATGCACCAGGACACTTTTTTTGGTTTCTTCTACCTGCTTTTGTTTCACCAATTTTCCTTTTTATCCCTTGCCATCAAAAGCTGAAGGCCGACAACAGACAAACACAAATAATGTTATCTAAATGCCTTATAAAGTACAGAGCAATGAAACTTGCAGTAAGTTATCATTTGATTTACATCTACAACTGATTATCTTCTGGAGTCGAGCTATATTTAAGATGGCTGCCACAACAACTCAATCTTATCTGGCACAAATAATATTCGACTAGTCGGTACTGAAGATTTTAAACTAACATTTGATATAGTAGCTGGGAGTCATTTGTTAGGCACTTGTGAGGTGATTCAGAACGGTATTTCCAAGAATTGACTAAAATTACTACAGCTCAGTCAATTTAGCATAAATATGTTTTCATTGAATGTTAGTCCTTTCATTTGTTTTTTTATATTCCACCTTTTTAAGCTGTGAGAGTGCTCCCCAGCCCCCAGATGGTGCTCTTTGTTCGGTGTGACTCATTTATGCTTGAAGATCAAATGACCCTCTTTATGTTGCAGCCAGTTCAGAGTGACTTAAACTTGACCCTAACCTTGCTTTAAAAATAGCCACACCTCCTGGTTTATTACAGTCTGGTGTGTGTTGCTATGTTTCACCCACTCATCACTCACATCTAGTCGTGTCTTTATTTTTGACTGCTCTGGTGTGTCACTGCCTCCTGAATTCTTTCCCAATCAAATCCCTCGTCTGCTATAATTAGACCTGGTCGGTGCCTTAAATAAAAGGAGGTAAACGTTTTACCTCGCCATGAGGTGCATTGTGATTGGCTGTTCTGAGAGGAAGCACGGTCCAGTTTTAGAAAGCCTGTCTGCGCGCCATTTGACTGGTGAGGCTTTTCTCCACAGTTACAGCCTGTGACAAGTGACGGGCCTTTTCAGCATAGTGCGGGAATACGTCATTGTAGGTAAATCCCTGCTATTTCAGTTTGATCTGCATTTAGTGAACTGTGCAATTGTTTTCACACACACACCCCTCCCCTTCTCATTTCTTTAGATTTGTCCTCTTAAGAAGCCAGACCTTCTTGTAATCTAATTTTATTTTTATGTTTTGCTCATACAGAGTACCTGACCATGACATAAAGCATATTATGCAACATGAGCTTTAAAAAAGGGAAAGTGTACGACAGAGTATTAGGGCCACACAATGAGATTTTTTTAATTACGAGATTAAAGTAATAATTTTATGAGAATAAAGTCGTAATATTATGAGATTAAAGTCGTAATGTTACGAGAAAAAAACGTCATTATCTTACATGAAGTGTCCATTTCCTCATTTCCTCCTTATTTCCCTCTCACCTGCTGTGTACAGCCATGTGTCTGTGTTTATAAAGTAGTCCATGATGACTCGTCACTGTTAGATTAATATGCTTTCATCCAAATTAGCTATGTGACGACTAAATCTGTCAATGCATCCATTAATAACAATACAGCTTCAGCTTATAGTTGTTTGCACAATTTCCAGGTCCTAATTTGATGCTAATGTGCTAAAAGATTAACTATTTATTCTAAGCAATGCTAAAGAGCAACTTGACAAGTTGCTCAATATTCCTCATTTTACTGCAGTGATAACTATGATTTTTTGTGAAGTAAAGGCAAGAATATTACGACTTTATTCTCGTAATATTATGACTTTAATCTCGTAATATTACGACTTTAATCTCGTAAATTATGACTTTATTCTCGTAATATTACGACTTTAATCTCGTAATATTATGATAGAACAAAGTTGAGGTGGTGTTTATTTTCATCATTCAAAATACTTGGCAGTGAGAGCTTGGGTCAACTTCCTTATTTTGAGAGTTTAATCATTG